CTTTGGCCAAGACGGCCGGGAGGCGGGCGCCTGAGTCCGCGGGTCCTGGGCCTGCGCCCGGGCTCCTGCGGGGTGCGGAAGGCGAGGGCCGAGGCCTTCTGATGGAGGAGGTCGCAGGGCGTCTCTGGCTGCCCAGGTCACCGCCGAGCGGACAGGACGCTCAGGCCGGGTCCCTTCCCAGCGAGGTGGCGTGGTCACAGGCACTGTAGGGGATCGAGGAACCTTGGAGCAGAACCCACCCCCTGCCTGACCGGTGTGGTGGTGAAAGCCTGTCACTCCCGCACTCTGGGAGGCTGAGGCAGGAGGATCCGAAGTTCCAGCACAGCCTGGGCAACTTAGTGACTTAGACAGCCCCCATCTCAAGAAAGGGCCAGGGATGCCGCTCAGTGCAAAGGCCCAGGGTTCAACTCCCAGTGTCAGGGGGGAAGGAAAAAGGAGCAAGGGGGAAGAGGGAGTTTTTAAGCAAAAACACCTATAGCCTGGTCAGTGTCTGCGGCTCAGCTGACAGAGCTTCGTCACGGTCTGACCTTCAGCTGCCTCAGGTTTGGCCTCTGCTCAGTCCCGGGGTTCCTGGAGCCGGTGAAGTGGAGTTCGAACCCCAGCTCCACCACTGCCAGCTGTGTGGCCTCGTGGTGAAGGCTCCCTGTGAGGCGAATAAAAACCCAGGCCAGGGTCCAAGCAAACACAGCTGCTGAGGCCCGTCATTTTCCTCTCAAAAGGATCTTGGAGGAAATGGAGGCAGGAGGGAAGAGGCTGCTCTGTTTGGGGTGGGTTTCTGTTGCTTCATTTTGTTTTTCACTGTGAAGCCCAGGCTGGCCTTGAACTCACAGCGATCCTCCTGCCTCAGCTTCCCTAGTGCCAGGATCACAGATGTACCCTGCCACGCCTGGCTTTTGGACAGGTGTTCCATCCCCCTGCCCCACCTGACGAGGCAGTGCCCCACCCTATGCTGGCTGCAGCCCAGCCCCTGGCCTCTTCCTGCGCGTCCCCTCTGAGAAGGTGAGATCCATGCGGACCAGGTCTCTGCCCAGCGGCGTGTCCAGCCTGCTGCCCACCACGTGGCTGCTGGAGTTGGGGACGGCGTCCGAGAAGCGCGGCACCTGCTCTGGCAGCTGCTCGGGCTGCTTCCTGTTGCCCTGAGAGAGGAGACAGCTGGGTCACAGCCTCGTGGGGGAAGGAGGGGCCCCTGAGACGTGTCTGAGAGCAGAGGTCTCGTCTCGCTGCCTTTGTGCTGTTGGGGTTTTTTGTTTGTTTGTTTGTTTTTTTGTACTGGGGACTCAAACTCAGGTCCTTGTGCTTGCAAGGCAGGCAGCAGAACCACTGAGCTAAATCCCTGGCCCTCGCTGGTTTTTTGAAACAGGGTCTCTCTATGCAGCCCAGGCTGGCCTCGAACTCTCCACAATTCTCCTGCCTCAGGCTCCTGAGTGCTGGAATGACAGGCGTGCGCCACCACACACAGTGGGGAAGCGAAGCGAGGGCGGCTACGGGTGGGAGGGGCTTCTACCAGACGCAGGGAGTTTGTTTCCGGTGTGTTTTTATCCAAACTGGTTTTCCTTTGGGCGTGGTGGCTACTGGAGCGCACACAACTTCCAGGGAACATTGGGCAGCAAATGCCGGCCGCTCCCAGCCACTCCCTCTTAATACAGTCAGCAGATCCCAGTGGAAAATTTTCTGTGTTCTGTGTAAATATTTTCTTTCCCTTCAAGCCCTGAGTTACTTAAAACAAAACTATTTACCCATGAACCCAGCACAGAGTAGGTGGTCAGATGGCAGGAAAGAGCGAATAAATTCACACTGGAAAACAGCATGTCTGCCTTACCATGGGGTCATAGTCTCTCAGGAAGCCCCAGTTCTCAGTCCTGGAAAGGAAAAGCACACTGGCCATGAGAATTCTCACCTTTTCTTTTTTTCCTTTTTTAATTTTTTGGTACTGGGGATTGAATCCAAGATCTCACTAAGTTGCCCAAGCTGGGCTTGGACGGATACTCCTGCCTCAGCCTCCCAGAGTGCCAGGATCACAGGTGTACCCCCCAACCCAACTATCTGAGACATTCCAAGACTGACTTTCATTGTGTGCAGCGAATGAGTCCCTGCCACAATGCATCCCACAGTGGAAGAACTGAAACAGTTCATTAGCAAAGTGAACACAGAACGTCCGGGTCACCCAAGTATCTTCGGGGGAATCCTGTGAACCTGGCTGGTTCCAGGTGGTGACCACGTTGCTAGGAAACCCCAGGCTTAATCTTACCCCCACCTCCCTGCGTTTCAGAAAGCTGTGAGGAGAGGTCCCCAGGCCTTTGTAAAAGGAGGGCAGGATGGGAGAGGGTGACGGCCTACCCTGGTGGTTTAATTTCTATTGGAATTTCCTTATTTTTTAGCTGGATAGTGACCAGTGCCTGTCATCCATCCCAGCCCTCAAGGAGGCCGAGGCAGGAGGGTTGCAAGTTGGAGCCCAGCCTGGGTAACCTAGCAAGACCCTGTCTCAAAATAAATAACACCCGTCCACCTGGCCCATGCTGTCTGTCTGTCCCTGGATCTCCCACCGCGGGCTCTCTTTCAACCCCAGGCAGGGCAGTGGTTTTGGGGGGCACTCACCAACGCCGCCACCCGCGCCCCTCGGCCTCCACCAGCTCTCTCCACAGCTCGTCCCCCTGCACGCCCAAGGCCAATCGCAGGGACCCTGGCGCCTTGTGGCCCCCAGCAGCACCCTGCCCTGTTGGGGAAACTGAGGCAGGAGGCCTGGCCGGTTGCAGTCGGGACCCGGAGGAAGTCGTTCGCCGGAGCCCAGGAGTAGGGCGGCTCCCCATGCTGGGGGTGTTGGATTCCCTGGCGCTGAGCTCCGCTGGCCCTCCCAGCTGCAGTGGGGCCCAGGATGTTGATTGTCGTCCTGGGAACGGAAGAGCCCTGCAGGGACAGCGACGCCGAGCCCAGTGCTGCACCCTGGCGGCCACGCGGGCCAGGACGGGCGGGCTGTGTGGTTTGGGGAGTTGGGGTGCAGACAGCGCATCTCAACTTCTTTCCATCTCTTCCTCCCCTCCCTCCATCTCTTGGTCGTCTTCCCTTTTGCAAAAGAGCTGTCTCCCTTTATTCTATCATTTCTCTTTTATTTTGCTCTTTATACTTTCTTTTTTTTCTTTTCTTTTTGGCTCCGGGGATCGAACTCGGGTCCTTGAGTTTGCAAGGCAGGCAGCGGAACCTCTGAGCTAAATTCCCGGCCCTCTGTGTTTCTCTTTTAAGAGAAACCATGTGATATGAAAGCTTGTGTGTCTGATTTACTTCACTTAACATAGTAGTCTCAGTACAGCCATTTTCCTACAGATGACTCAAGTTTATCCCTCTTTGTGGCAGAGTGGTACTCAATTGTGCGTAAATACCACATTCATTCATCTGTCGTTGGACATACAGGCCGCTTCCAAGATTTAGCTGTTGTGCTGCTAAACACGGTCATGCGTGGATCACTGTGATATGATGTCTTTAACTGTCGGGGAATAGCTGAGTCAAATGGAAATTATTATTATTATTGGTCCCAGGGATCGAACTTGGGACCTTGTGCTTGGGAGGCAGGCGGAGCACCACTGAGCTAAATCCCTGGCCCATTTTATTGTTGTTGTTGTTGTTATTATTATTGAGACAGCTTCTCGCTGTGTGGTCCAGGATGGCCTTGACCTCCCTATGTTGCCCAGGCTGACCTCAGACTCGCACTGATCCTCCAGCTGGGATGACAGGTGTGCTGCCCCACGCCTCCCTCCTGTCCTATTTACTGTTAGCGCCCTTCCAGCTTCCCTGGTAAAAGCTGAGCCCCTCGTGACTGCAGTTCATGTCTCTGCCAGCAGAGGGCAGCATGTAGCTTTCTATCCCACAAGGGTCGCTGTGACTTCTCTGATCCGAGACAGGACACGGTGGGGTCCAGGAAGGCCCAGTAGTGGCCCGGGAAGGGTGTGGGAGGTGTTGGGGACAGGGCTGGGCAACAGCCCTTGGGCATGGGTGTGGGCCAGAACAGGTCAAGCTGCTTTGCTTTGACTGGCCTGCTTCCTCCCTCTCCCTCCCTCCTTTCTTTTCTTTGATTTTTTTGTTTGTTTGTTGGTTTGTTTTTTGAGACAGGGTCTCACTGTGTAGTTGAGACTGACCTGGAACTCACTATGTAGCCCAGGCTGGTCTTGAACTCACAGAGATCCTCGTGCCTCAGCCTCCCAAGTGCTGGGATTACAGGCGTGCACCACCATGCCCAGCTTTTTCTTTGATTTTTTAAGACAGGGTCTCACTATGTAGCCCAGGCTGGCCTTGAATTCTCATTGACCCTCCTGCCTCAGCCTCCCTAGTACTGGGATTGCACGTGCACATCCCCACTCCTGGATGCCTTTGTCTTTTGAAGCCCCCGCAGGAACCCCGGATCTTACCCAGGCTAAACCTGACTCACCTGCGGGCCACAGTTTGCTCGACTGCTATCTATTTTGCGCCTGTGTCGTTTGAGGTATGCAGTTTGTTGAGTTTATTGGTACAGTCTAGTATACAGTACAGTTACATTCATCACTGGGATTCTGTACCTTTACATAATTGAGGTGCGCAGTTTGCCACATTCATGCCTTCCTCGAGGGCTTTAGTCCTTGGGAAGTAAGTTTTCTATCCTGTAAAGCTCACAGGTTTCCCCTGATTACCATAGCTGTTCTAGTTTTCTCTTGGTAAATATTTGCTGCTATGTTGTTCTTCACCAGTTTATTTTAAATATGGGTCCGTATGTTTTTAAGTATGTGCTCTCGTAAACAGCATAAGGCTGTCCTAAAACAAAAACAAAAACATTTGAAAACATTTTTTTGTTTTGTTTTGTTTTGTTTTGAGACAGGGTCTCCTTATGTAGCCCAGGCTGGCCTCAAAGGAGTGATGATCCTCCTGCCTCAGCCTCCTGAGTGCTGGGAGTGAAGGTGATTCTACGATGGTGCAGTTGTAAGGACAAAAAGCTACCAGATTCCCCCTGATGTCTAGGTTAGGAAAGCCCCTATCCTTCCGCAAGACTCTCCTGGGTTCTTCCTCAGCCTTCCAAGGGGCCCAGGAGATGGGCACCACCACAAGGCCCTGGCAAACCGAGACGAGGACTCAGGGATATTTCGGTGTGTATCTGATCGTGAGGCGGGTGGGACTTCCCTCCGCTCTTCTGGGTCAGCTGCTTGGGCATCGGTGTGAGCAGGGACGGGAAGCCACGCGAGGTGAGAGGGCACTCGTGATGGTGGCTTCGGGCCTGCAGGAACTCAGGGCACCTCGTGGGCACCTGGGGGGCCTGCCTGTGACCGGGTCTCCCTGTGGCCATGACCTGAGGACAGGTGCTGTCCTCAGTGCTTCTGCCCAGGGCTGAGCTACCCTGCAGGCCGCTTACCGATGTTCACACCCGGAAATTCAGCCCCAGGGCCGCTGGGCTGAGAGTTGGGGCTTCAGTAGGTGACCAAGTCTTTGGGCTTTCCTGTGGCTGGGAGGTGACATCTGACACCCACAGCTTAGAGGAGGAGAGGGTGGGTCTGGCTCGTGGTTTCAGAGGTGCAGTCCATGGTCAGCTGCTCCAGGGAAGGACAACATGGAGGCCGGGAGCTACCGAGTCATCGGCAGCAAGAGAGTCCTTGGTCCGGGACTCCACAGCCCCCAGGATCGTGAGCCACAAACGTCTCCCGTTCGTGAACCAGCCAAGCTGTGGCTCACCGTTACAGAGCCCATCTTCCTGCTGCCCCAGCAGGGTGAGCCGCTTGTCATTTCCAGGATGTCGGGTGTGGCTGTGACATCCTCTTCCCAAAGCCTCCTTCTCCTCCCCTGCCTCTGAAAGGTCTTCCTGGCCGCAAGCAGGTTTGAGTCTTGCTTCCCTGACCTCTTGCTGCAGCTCAAGGCTTCTTGCCTTGCATCTGCCGCTTGGTGCCACAGACGTGAGCCTGTCTTTCTCCCTAGATGAGTCTGAGCTACTCGAGGGCAGGCGATTGTGACCTTGAACTGCCACACGTCCTTGGTGCCTAGCATGAGCCGGGATGCAGAAGAGGCCCACTAAATACCTCTCTCTGGAGAAAGCATAGGTAGTGCACAATGGCTCGGAGTGGGCCAGGGCAAGGATGGCTATGGCATTCCCAGTCAGCTACTAAACTGAACTAAGATACCTGCCCAGGGGTAGTTTCTGGAACACTCAGAAATATTCTGGAACATTTGAGAACATTCTGGAACATTCAGGAACACACTGGAACATGTCGGAGCCAGCCTGCAGACCAGGGGACACCATGGCTACCGCCCCTGTATGTTCCTCTTGCCGCTTCCCCACCCAAGAGCAAAAGCTCTTGCTTTCTCTCTGGCCTCGCCACATCTGTCTCCTTCGGTGGCTGCAGGGAACAGGAGTTCAGAGGAAAAGGAAGGAGAGGCATCCTCCTCCTGTCACCTCTCTACCCCTGGGTCCAAGGACAGGTCCTGCAACCTGGTCCAGCACCAGTCAGCTCCAGGGTCCCTGCTCAGTGAGGAAGCAAAGGGGAAAAGGGGAAAGGACATGTCCCCAGGATGCCCGAGAGGCTGTGGGCGTGGGTGTTTCCAGTTAGCATCAAATGAAAACAGACTTTGAGCCAGGCATGATGGCTCAGGCCTATAATACCAGCACTCGGGAGGCTGAGTCAGGAGGATCTCTCAGGCCAGCCTAGACTACGTATATTTATCAAGCACCTGTGATTTGCTGAGCAGGTGAGGACAGGCAAGGAAGGGCTTTGTCTGGGTCACCAGCCATCGCGGCAGGGAGACAGCCATCCCTGGGCACTCTGGGCTCCTACTCTTCAATGCTTTCTGTGGAAGATCCTGCTTCCCATCCCGTGGGACATTTCCTGTGTGTCCCCAATCCTGGCTGTGCACAGTCTGTGCCCCTGGCGACATAGTTACAGACGTGACAAGCCCCCGAGTTCCTCAAGCACCTGCTGGCTCAGAGGCGCCCCCGTGCACACTGATCCTGTCACCCACTTTCTGAGGCAGGACGCGCTGAGTCTTAATTACAGGCGGGGGCCAGTGCTGAGCAGATACACATGCCCGTGGTTCCAATGCTATAATTAGGACTAGGGCTCACTCGGCGACAGGAAAGCAGGCCTGCCTGGTGCAGGCCTCGCGCCACTGTGTTGCTGGGTGGGAAGGAGCTCAGTTAACGTGTGAGGCACCAGGGAGTGGGAAGGTCCGCAGAGAGTCCCCAGGAGCGAGGCCAGGCTGGCCTTGAACTGGCAGCGATCCCCCTGCCTCAGCCTCCCAAGTACTGGAATCACAGGTGTGTAGCACCACACCTGGCTCAACCCACTTGTAGAAACCTGGATGTGAGCATCTGTTGGAATTGTGTTTTGTTATTATTTGAATGGGGCTGATGCCAACGGCAGCTAGATTTTGTTTAGTGTCTACTATGTCCCTTTCCACGGCATGAAGGTCCCTGCTGTCCTCATGCACCTCTGTGCTCGCAGCAGACACAGAACTCCCTGTTATTTGGGGGAGAAGGTGCTCTTTGCCCACCCCAGCCCCCCAAACTGTGCCAGCTGCTCCACGCGTGGGCTCTCGGCCGCCCCCTGTGGGCCAGGGAGGGGATTGCGCCTGAGCCCGCTTTGTGGCCGTGATTTCAGCTCCGAGGGGTTTGCACCCTGAGCGGGGCTGAGCGCCTGTGGCCGGTGCTCGTCTGGCTCCCCGCGTCCCCCAGCGCGGCCCGCGG